TTTGTGTATTTTTCAGTAAAGATGGGTTTTCGGGCCGGGCGCGGTGGCTCAGCCTGAATCCCAGCACTTTGGGAGCCGAGACAGGTGGATCACGAGGTCAGGAGATCGGACCATCCTGGCTAACACGGTGAAACCGTCTCTACTAAAAATACAAAATTAGCTGGGCGAGGGGTGGGCGCCTGTAGTCCCAGCTACTTGGAGGCTGAGGCAGGAGAATGGCGTGAACTCGGAAGGCAGAGCTTGCAGTGAGCCGAGATCGCGCCACTGTACTCCAGCCTGGGCGGCAGAGGGAGACCCCGTCTCAAAAAAATAAATAAGACGGGTTTCACTATATGGCCAGGATGTCTTGATCTCTTGACCTGTGATCTGCCTGCCTCAGCCTCCCTAAGTGATGAGGTTACAGGCGTGGAGCCACTATGCCTCGCCTGATAACTTTTTTTTTTTTTTGGGAAGATGGGTCTATATTGCCTAGACTGATTCTTGAACTCCTGGCCTCAAGGAATCCTTCTGGACTGAGCTTCCGAAGTGCCAGGATTAAAATGGTTAGCCACTATGACCAGCCAGAAGAGATAATTCTTCTTTATTTTGTAATATTGGCCGGGCGCGGTGGCTCACGCCTGTAATCCCAGTACCTTTGGGAGTATGAGGCATGGGATCACCTGAGGTCAGGAGTTTAAGACCAGCCTTGCCAACTGACGAACCCTGTCTCTACTAAAAATACAAAAATTAGCCAGGCATGGTGGAGGGCTGCCTGTGATCCCAGCTACTCAGGAGGTGAGGCAGAAGCATGGCTGGAACCAGGGAGGTGAGTTTCCAGTGAATTGAGATCACGCCATTGCACTCCAGCCTGGGCAACGAGTGAAACTCCATCTCAAAACAAAGAAACAAACCAAAAAACGAAAATATTTTTGTAGTATTTTTTAAATAGAGATGTGGTCTTGCTATGTTGCCCAGGCTGGTTGAACTCCTTGGGCTCACGGGCGTCCCCTTTTGCCTCAGCCTCCAAAAGTGTTGGGATTACAGGCCTGAGCCACTATTCCCAGCCTAGATGATTCTTATAGATTAGAATTCAGAAAAAGTAGAACATGCCCCAGTATAGTATATAACAGTCATTATGTATATATATATATATACTTATTATCATCAGGACAAAAAAAAAAAAAATTGCAATGTTATTCAAGCATAGCTCCATAACATATTAGTAAAGGTAATCAAATAAGTCTTTTTAAATGATCCATTATGCCATAGTCGAGCTTATCCAGGAATACAAGGTTGATGTAACATTCGAAAAGAAATAAATACAAAGAACACATTTAGTTAATTTATTTATTTTTGACAGAGTCTCATTCTGTCACCCAGCATGCAGTGCAGTGGTGCAATCTCCGCTCAATGCAACCTCCACCTCCCGGGTTCAAGCGATTCTCCCGCTTCAGCCTCCCAAGTACCTGGGATTACAGGTGTATGTCACTACACCCAGCTAATTTTTGTATTGTTAGTAGAGAGAGGGTTTCACCATGTTGGCCAGGCTGGTCTCGAACTCCTGACCTCAAGTGATCTGCCCACCCCTGCCTCCCAAATTGCTGGGATTACAGGCATGAGCCACCGCACCCAGCCTGATCACATTTTAGAAAAGTGCCCTTCCATGCATTCACTTCTTCAAGCTTGTTTTTTGAGATGGGGTCTTGCTATGTTGCCTAAGCTGGTCTAGAACCCCTGGGCTCAGGCCATCTTCCCAAGTAGCTAAAACTATAGGCATGCATCACCACAACGTTTCATTGAAGTATTTATTAGGTACCATCATGAGTTAGGTGCAGTTCTAGGTACTTTAGTTTTATCAGTAAATAAACATGATCATCACAGAGGATGCGCAGGAAGCATTTAACAAATTCAAAAGGAATTCAGCCCCATAAATTATGAAATATTGGGAAATCATTCATCATGTAAAAACTGAATGTAAAGAAAAAACCTTTCCTGCAGAAGATAACCTCTTCAAAAAAATAAAAAATAAAAAGCTACAGCTAAGCCAATAAAATGGAGCGCATATCTCACCAGAACTGCAAAGACAAGTATGCTGGTATTATTACTTTTAGTTGGTGTTGTGCTGCAGGTTGAAATCAGTACAGTAAAGCCAGAAAATATTTAGAGAGCTTCATCACATGAATTTTGGGCGTCACTGTTCAGTCCAAAGTACTTAATGATTCTTTTCTCTTTCCACATAGACAATCAGAAAATCTGTAAATAATGACTCTTAGTTTTCCACTTCAGGAATTATATACATATACATGTATACATGTATATAATATACTTCAGGAATTATATACATATATATATAGTGACCCCAGTGACCCTAAAATTTCATATGAAGCTCCAAATCCCAGTGTGACTGTATGTGAAAAGAGAAGGGGGCGGGGTGGGGAGGGGAGACCGACTGACCTATTTGTTGGTCTCCATCGTGTGAAGACATGAGGAAGTGGGCACTGACATGCCAGGAAGAGCGCTCTCACCAGAAGCTGACCATGCTGGCACTCTGATCTTGGACTTCGAGCCTCCAGATATGTGAGAATATAAATTTGTGTTTTGGGACAGACGCGGTGGCTCAGGCCTGTAATCCCAGCACTTTGGGAGGCCGAGGCGGGTGGATCACCTGAGCTCAGGCCTGACCAACATGGAGAAATCCTGTCTCTACTAAAAATACAAAATTAGCCAAGATTTGGGATGCATGCCAATAATCCCAGCTACTTGGGAGGCTGAGGCAGGAGAATTGCCTGAACCCGGGAGGTGGAGGTTGCGGTGAGCTAAGGTCACGCCAGTGCACTCCAGCCTGGGCAACAAGAGCGAAACTCCATTTCAAAACAAAAAAAAACAGAAAAAAGAAAAACACATTGTTTTTTTAACCTCATTTGTTTTAAATGAATTTGTAAGCCATTTGGTCTGTGGTATTCTGTTACGAATGCCCGAGCTGACTAACGCAGATTTTGGCACTGAAAAGTGAGGTACTGCCATTACAAACAAACAAACAAAAAAACTAAAAATGTGAAGCAGCCTTGAAACTGACAAATGAGTAGAGGCTGGAAAAATTCTGATGTGCAAGCTGGAAATAAGGTTGGTAAGGGTGATTCCGGTGAGGTGTCATTGGGGAATGAGGAACATGCTATTTGGAAATGAAGAAAAGACAACCCTTGATATGAAGTCGTGAAGAACTTGGCAGAACTGTATTCTAACATTTAGTGCAAGGCAGAGCTTGAGAGACATAAAATTGGGTATGTATCACTAAGATCTGTAATTACAGTGTTAAAGGACACAGGAAGCTTCATTCTTCCTGACTACTTACAAGAAAATGTGCTGGGAACAGGCCTCCCAAATATGGCCATAAACAGGCCATGAGAAACTGGCCATAAACACAATCTCTGCAGCACTGTGACATGCTCCTGATGGCTATGACACCCACGCTGGAGATTGCTGGTTTATTGGAATGAGGGCTGGGAACACCTGATCCACCCAGGGCAGAAAACTGGAGAACTGCTCAAGGCATTCCTAAACCATAAACAATAGCATGAGTGATTTGTGCCTTAAGGACACGTTCCTGCTGCAGATAACAAGGCACAGCCTGTCCCTTTCATTCCCTCAAGGGATACTTTTAGCTAATCTATAATCTATAGAAATAATGTTTATCACGGGCTTACTGTCAGTAAATACTCTGTTGGAGGCTCTCAGCTCTGAAGGCTGTCAGCCTCGATTCCCACTCTGCACTCTAGTTCTGTGTCTGTGCCTTAATTCCTCTAGCGCCGCTGGGTTAGGGTCTCCACCACGGACCTGGTCTCGGCAAAAATGCAAAAGAGGAGACCTGAATTGCAGAAGAAATAGTTAAGGAAAAAGGAACCAGAACTTGGAGATTTGGAAAATTCTCAGCCTATCCATACTGCAAAAATTAGAAAACTTGTACTGAAGAGAATCCTCAAAGTGTGGCTGAACAATCATTTATTTGATAAAGAGATCATGAGTGGGATTCATGGACTATATCAGTCATCTTAACAGAAGAGAGAAGAGAGACCGGATTATACTAGAAGACACACTGCCACTTACATTGTGCCACCTAAAATGGACAGAGAGGACAGAACAGGCAAGGTTGTCACACTTCTTGTAAAAAGAAGGGGACACAGAAATAATCAGCTATGAAAGTGCACTGGCAGTTAAGGATGGTTTCATACCTGCCATGCTCTGCAGGATCCGTGGGAACAGAAGAGTCCCTTGGAGGAGCATCTTTTTAACAATCCACCTCTGGGGCCTACATCTTGGCTTCTGGTAAATTTTGACATAAATGTGCCACACTGGCAGCCACTAACCAACAGGGGCTGGGATCAATCTGCATGATGTATCTCATACAGAACTTGTTAACGCTATGATCTTAGGAATCTAATCACTAATGTGAGGCAGCCTGCAGTACTGACCTCACCATCCATGACCCTTCTTCACAGATGCCCAGACTCAGGCAACCATGAAGTTGTATTCAGAACCTGTAGGTTTAATTTCAGACCCTCAGGATGGCATCTAAGGCCAATCCATGAGCCATTACAACCTCCACAAGGCATTTAGCACAAATCTGATGATCTCTGCACTGCCAATAATTAAATGTGGCAACCAATGGACTAAATGGTAATACTCATACCCTTACATTCATAGGATTTCTCCCCAGTGTGAATTCTTTCATGCATACTTAGGCATGAGAAAACAGCAAATGCTTTCCCACATTCTTTTTTTTTCTTTGGGGTGGGGAGGGGACGGAGTCTCGCTCTGTCGCCCAGGCTGGAGTGCAGTGGCATGATCTCAGCTCACTGCAAGCTCCGCCTCCTGGGTTCACGCCATTCTCCTGCCTCAGCCTCCCGAGTAGCTGGGACTACAGGTGCCCGCCACCAAGCTGGGCTAATTTTTTGTATTTTTAGTAAAAACGGGGTTTCACCGTGTTAGCCAGGGTGGTCTCGATCTCCTGACCTCATGATCCACCCACCTCGGCCTCCCAAAGTGCTGGGATTACAGGCGTGAGCCACTGCGCCCGGCCTGCTTTCCCACATTCTTTACATACGAAGGGTTTCTCTCTGGTATGAGTTTGCAGGTGAACATTAGGGGTGAGGAATACATAAATGTCTTCCCACGTATCTTGCATTTACCTTTCTCCACTGTGAGTTTTCAAATGTTTACTACGATGGGAAGAAGTAATGAAGGTCTTCCCACATTCAACACATTCATAAGGCTTCTCTCCTGTGTGAATTCTTCTATGTTGAGTAAGCGTTGAAGATCTATTGAAGGCTTTCCCACATTCCTTACACTGATAGGGTTTCTCTCCAGTGTGATTTCGTATGTGTATAGCAAGGCCTGTGTATTGAGTGAAGGCTTGGCCACATTCCTTACATTCATAGGGTTTTATTCCAGTGTGAGTTCTTACATGTTGAGTAAGGTGAGTTGATCTAGTGAAGGCTTTCCCACATTCCGTACATTTGTGTGGTTTTATTCCAGTGTGAATCTGAATGTGAACATTAAAGGATGAGGAATTTCTAAAGGATCTTCCACATTCTTTACATTCAAAGGACTTCTCTCCTTTATGAGTTTTCGCATGTGCAGAAAGTTGAGAAAAATTAGTGAAGGATTTCCCACAATTCTTAGTCTTTTCAGACTTCCTTCCAGTATGAACTGTTACACACTGCTTTAGGTGTGAGGAAGGTGTGATGGCTCTCCCACATTCCTGAAATTCACAGAGTTTCTCTCCAATGTGGATTCCCATGTGATTATCAAGGCTCGCAAAATACTTAAAGCCTTTTCCACATTCCTTACATTTGTATGGTTGTCTTCCATTGAGAATTTCAAGATGTACAGCAAGGCCTGGAGTTAAGGTGAAGACTTTTCCACATGGATTAAATTTGGAAAGTTCCTGTCCAATAGAGGTTTCCTTGTGCACACTGAGGACGTCTTTTCCGTAACAATTACCCTCAGAAGCGTTCCCTCCATTGTGAGCTCTCATGTGTGTCTTAAGGCAAAACTGTTCACTGAAGACCTCTCCACAATTCTCACAGAGTTTCCATCCACTGTAGTTTCTTGTCTGCTGAGGAGGGGATAAAGGATTTAAAACATTTTCAGACATATAAAGAGATTTCACCCATCTGAACACATAAACATTATTTTGATGACAATTATTATTTTACTTTTTCATGTTTAATTTTCTTTTTTTTTTTTTTTGAGACAGAGTCTTCTTCTATCTCCCGGCCTGCAGTACAGTGGTACAATCTCTGCTAACTGCAACCTCCACCTCCCAGGCTCAAGTGATCCTGATGCCTCAGCCTCTCAAGTAGCTGGAAATACAGTTGTGCACTACCGCACCGGGTAATTTTTCTATTTTTTTGTAGACACAGGTTTTGCCAAGTTGCCCAGGCTGGTCTCAAACTCCTGAGTTCAGGTGAACTGCCTGCCTCGGCCTCCCAAAGAGGTAAGATTACAGGCATGACCCACCATGCATGGCATGTTTTACTTTGTTCAGAGTTGGGGTTTTGCTCCATTGCCTGGGCTTTAGTACACCGTTGTGATCATGGCTCACTGTAACCTCAAATGCCTGGCTGGGTTCAAGTGATCATCCTGCCTTAGCTTCCTGTGTAGCTAGGACTATAGGCATGCATCATCACGCCTGGCCAATCTTTTGATTGATTGATTGATTGATTGATTTTTGAGATGGAATCTCACTTTGGCTGGAGTGAACTGTCGCAATTTCAGCTCACTGCAACCTCCGCCTGCTAGGTTCAAGTGGTTCTTCTGCCTGGGCCTCCCGAGTAGTATGTGCAACCACACCCAGCTAATTTTCGTATTTTTACTACAGATGGGATTTCACCATGTTGGCCAGAGTGTTCTCAAACTCCTGACCTTGTGATCCGCCCACCTCAGCCTCCTAAAGTGCTGGGATTAGAGGCGTGAGCCACCGTGCCCGGCCTCAATTTATTTTTATAGAGATAAGGTCTTGCTATGTAGCCTAGGCTGGTCTCAAACTCTTCAAGAAACACCATGTCTCAGCCTCCCAAACTGTTGAGATTACAGCCATGAGCTGCCAAGTCAGCCTACATAGATAAATCTAATTTTTACAATTTTTCTTCCATGGTCTCATTTCCTACCCTTTTGATTTCTTGCCAGAATTCTATGCCACTGGCTCTAATTGTTCAACACAAACAAACAAACAAAACAAAAACACTGTCTTTTTTTGATTGTTGGGGGTGGCTTGAGACAGGGTCTCACTCTGTCACCCAGGCTGTGTACCATGGCACAATCACAGCTCACTGCAGCCTTAATCACCCAGGCTCAAGCCATCATCCTGCCTCAGTCCCCCAGGGAGCTTGGATTACAGATGCATGCCAACATGCCTGGCTAACTTTTTGTTTTTTGTAGAGACAGGGTCTCCCTGTTGCCCAGGCTGGTCTTGATCTCCTAGACTCAAGCAATTCTCCTGCCTCAGCTTCCCAAAGTGCCGGGATTACAGGCATCAGCCATTGCAACCAGCCAAATTGTGTAGATTTTCATGAAACTGTTTAAATCCTCAATGTCTAGTTACATATGTGGGAATGTGTACTTGTGGGTATTTTGAAATGACAAGTTATACAGGTGTGGAACATCACAAAATTCATCACATTCGGACTCTCTCCAGAGACCCTGCTCCCTCAACGGTGCAGGCTACTTCTCTCTCAAGTATCTCTCATTTGTGCTATTTCTTTTTCACTGCAACCTCCACCTCCCGGGTTTAAGCAATTCTGCCTCAGCCTCCCAGGTAACTGGGATTGCAAGTGCCGCCACCAAACCTGGCTAATTTTATATTTTTAGTAGAGACAGAATTTCACCATGTTGGTCAGGCTGCTCTCGAAGTGATCCACCCACCTCGGCGTCCCAAAGTGCTGGGATTACAGGACTCACTTTCTTTTCTGACTTCCCTCCTTTTTTTTTTTTTTTTTGAGACAGAGTCTCACTCGGTCGCCTGGGCTGGAACGCGGTCGCCTGGGCTGGAATGCAGTGGTGCAGTCTTGGCTCACTGCAACCTGTGCCTCTGAGTAAGTGATTGTCCTGCCTCAGCTTCCAGAGTAACTGGGATGACAGGTGCCCACCACCACACGCAGCTAATTTTGTATTTTTAGTAGAGATGGAGTTTCACCATGCCGGCCAGGCCTGTCTCAAACTCCTGACTTCAAGTGATCTACCTACCTTTGCCTCCTAAAATACTGAGATTACAGGCATGAGCCACCACATCCGGGCTCTTTTTAAAATCAGAGATGGGATCTTGCTATACTGCCTAGGCTGGTCTTGAACTCCTGGGTTCAAATGATGCTCCCACCTCAGCCTCCCAAGTAGCTGGGATTACAGATGTAAACCACACCACTAACTGGGCTGATTTTCTAGAATGGAATTCTCAATCTTTTCTGAGAGAGGAAATTAAGAAATATCCCTCATGGCCTGGCACGGTGGCTCACGCCTGTAATCCCAGTACTTTGGGAGGTTGAGGCAGGTGGATCACGAGGTCAGATCAAGACCATCTTGGCTAACACAGTGAAACCCTGTCTCTACTAAAAATACAATAAATTAGCTGGCGTGGTGGCACATGCCTTTAGTCCCAGCTACTCGGGAGGCTGAGGCGAGAGAATCGCTTGAACCTGGGAGTTGGAGGTTGCAGTGAGCTGAGATGATGCAACTGCACTTCAGCCTGGCAGAGCGAGACTCTGTCTCAATAAAAAAAAGAAGAAAAAAAGAAATATCCCTCATGAATCTTACCATTTGTATGCCAGTAAATATTTGATTCTTCAAAAAACCCTGCTGAAGTGATGACCGTTTGGTTCTAGGTTGTATTTCCCATTCTGAAGTTAAGCAGAAAAAGAAATCTAAGGGTTTAGAGAAGAAATGTGTTAGTTTAAAATGAGTCATTTGTCTTTGTTTTCAAATTTTTTTTTTTGTTTTTTTTTTTGGGACGCGGTCTCACTCTGTCGCCCAGGCTGGAGTGCAGTGGCCGGATCTCAGCTCACTGCAAGCTCCGCCTCCCTGGGTTTTACGCCATTTCCCCCTGCCTTAGCCTCCGAGTAGCTGGACTACAGCGCCCACCTACCTCGCCCGCTAGTTCTTTTGTTCATTTTTTAGTAGAGACGGGGTTTCACTCTGTGTTTAAACAGGATGGCTCCTGATCTCCCTAACCCTCCAGTGATCC